CCCTGTGAAATTTTCCACCTCTTCCAGGAAGCTAGTTACTTACTCCTTTGTGTTTTGGAGCCTTAATAAATCTTGTTGCAGTTACACTTGGAATTGAATTGCATATTTTTGTATACTTGACCTCTCTAACACAAGCTTGAGCTCCTCACTGATGTGTATACACCCCCACCTGATTGCTTTACCCACTACAGCTTTATCTCAATGAACAGATCCTTGTCCCTCACCTCCTGGGACGTAAGAGACTGCTTGTAGCACCCTATTCTCTTGAGAGCCTCATAGCCTATTTTCCTCATCTCCATATCCAGGAAGCACATATAAGAGCACAGAGCAGACAGGAACTGTTCAAACAATGCACTTGGGCCAGGGCCACAGAGGCAATTTCAAATCTTTTCCTTTAGAATGTCTGTCTTACAAGAGTTCTAAAAGGCAGGACTAAATGAGGATGTGAGCTTCCACATCAGACTTTTTTTTATGAAGCACTCAAATAAGAGCATAAACACTTTGCAACTTGTGCTTTTGAAATCACAATGATCTCCCTTCCTTCCAGACCTAAGTCAGCAAAGTACAAAATCCTTTTTTCTTGGGAATTGCTCACCAAGGACTGGCATTTGTGATATGACTGTGTTTTTATTTCCACGTGACTTTTAATTATTTATGATCTTAATGTCATCCTCTATTAGTGATCAAAAAGTTTCTTTCTGTTCTCGTGGGATTGTCTTTGACCTGCTGAAGTGATGGGGAATTAGAAGTTTAAAAGCTACAAGAACATGCCAGTATCTTAGGTAAGCTTCAATGCTGTGAGAATATACCCAACAAGTAAGAGAGGAAAGATTTATTTTGCTCACAGTTTCAGAGGGTCCAGCCCATCATTACAGGGCAGAACAGTTCATATTGTGGTGGTCAGGAAGCAAAGAGGCTGTTTGTACCAGCTGACTTACTCCTCCCTTTTATTCCACTCAGGTCTCCAGCTTCTGGGGATGGTAGTGCCCACATTCAGGGCAGGTACATCTCTCTTTGTTAATCTTTTCTGGAAACTCTCTCACAGACATATCTGGAGGTGTGCTTTACTAATCTCATAAGCATTTATCTGGTTGTTGTTTTTTTTTTTTTTTTTTGTGTGTGTTCTCATCCTCCTCTCTACCCATCTCCCGAAAGAAAGAGAGAGAGAGAGAGAGAGAGAGAGAGAGAGAGTGTGGTGCCTCTGTGTGGTGTATGCATGGATGCACACATCTATATACATGTGGAGGTCAGAAGAGGATGCTGGGTGTCTTGGTCTACCATTTTCTGTCTTATTCCTTTGGAGAAGGTCCCCCCTGAACTAGACTGGCAGCCAGCAAACCCCATGAGCCTCCTGTCTTTTACTCCACAGCCACTGAGGTTATAGACGTTTGTGGCCATGCCCATTTTTTTCTGTGGGCCCTAGGATGTGAGCCCAGGTCCTCAAGCTTGTACATCAAGTACGCTTACCTGAGCCACCTCTCCAGTCCCAGTTTTTTTTTTTTTTTTTTTTTTTGTCTGAGACAGGGTCTCCCTGTAGCCCCAGCTGTCCTGGAACTCACTATGTAGACCAGGCAGGCCTTGAACTCACAGAGATCTGCCTGCCTCTGCCTCCCAAGTGTTGGAACTATAGGCGTGCACCACCACAGCTAGCTAGTCCCAGTTTTTAAATTCAGTTTATTTTATTTTTAAAATATTTTATTTATTATTTTTATTTTATGTGAATGAGTATATTGCCTGAATGTAGGTAAGTGCACCTATGTCGTGCAATGCCCACGGAGGACAGAAGAGGCTGTCAGATCCCCTGGAACTGGAGTTATGGTCAGTTGTTAGCTGCCATATGTGTGCTAGGATTTGAACCTGGGTCTTCCTCAAGAATAGTCAGTGTTCTTAACTGCTGAGCCATCTCTCCAGCCCTCAGTTTATTTTTTATGTGTATGTATGTATGTATGACTGAATGCATGTATGTGCACCACTTACATGCTGGCAGTTGTGAGAGTTGCCATGTAGATACTGGGAACCAAATTCAGGTCCTCTGGAAGAACAGCAAATGCTCTTAACTGCTGAACCATCTCTCCAGTCCCCAGTCCCAGTTTTATTTGCTGTTCTTGTTTTGCTTTCTTTTCATTTCTGTTTTTGAGATTAGAGTCTTGCCTCAAACTCACTCTGTAGCCCAGGCTGGCTTCCAACTTCTAACCATCCTCCTGCCTCAGTCTCCTGAGTTCTGGAATTACAAGTGTACATTGCCACACTCAGATTTCAAAGGTATTTCTCAAGTCAGTCAAGTTGACAATTGTGATTAACCATAACAAGTCTAGCCTTGTCAACCCGACAAGCAAATGCATCTCCATTTAAGACATTCCAACTATGCCCCTGTCAAATTCATGTCTATTTCATTGTACATGTGCATTTGGTCTACCTCCCTGAGTCCCAACGGCCTTAATAGTTCCAATACTGTTCAAAAGCTGAAGTCAAGATAATTCTTAGCTGTGAGCCCCTATACATCATGGAGAAACATTACATGCTCCTGACATACAATGGGAGAAAGTAAACATTACCATTTCAAAAAGAGAAACGAAGACAGCAAAGAGGAAATGTACCATAGCAAGAATGAAACACAGGACAAACACTAAGCCCTACGTGTTTCACACCTGGAAGGCTAGACTTGTTATGGCTAATCACAATTGTCAACTGGAATCTGGAGCATGTGATGAAGTGATGTGAGCTCCAACAAGCTTGGGCAGACTTTCCTCTATGGCCATTTGCAGCCTGCATGGCCTCTGTCTTGAGCTGGCTTCACTTCTTTTTCCTGCAGTTTTCCTTGGCAGGCATTCCACTTTCTTCACATGTCCAACACTCTGAGGGTACTTTAGGCTTCAGTCTCACAGCTTCATACATTAGCCTCTCAGAGACTTTCTGCAGAAACCCCTACCCTGTCTCGCCCTATCCCCAGATGTCCTTTTGGAGCCGACTGGAAGTTTCCGTGATCCTAAAACTCTTACAGTCTGTGTGCCTGCAATCTAGCATCACATGATGCTCAAGGCTGCCATCAGTTTAAGTGGCTACCAGAACTGCTTGGACCATAGTTGTCGAGCCTGTGACTGAGCATGGTGAAATGAATCCTGGGGAAATAACTTCCTGGGTTGCCCTGTGAGAACAAGAAGTGTTCTCTTCTCAGGAGAAACATATTTCAGATGAGTTTGCTCTTTCCTATCCTCGAACATGGGTAGGGTCTGGCCAATTCCTAGCATGTCCTCAAGGCATCTGTCCTATGTCTCACTGCAAACTAACTTGTTTGCTTTATAATGTCACTAAATTCTTCAAAAACCATGTCTTCCTTAGCCCCAACTTTACACAGATTGTTCTGACCAAACGTTAAGCTTTTTAAGCCTTAAGCCTCTGCCATTTTCCTCTGAGTCTCACCATAAATCTAGCTAAAAGGAGCTAGCAATAATCATGTCATAACCAGAATGTTGAGCTGCCTCCCATAACATTTAAAGACATAGACAAAATATAGACAAGTTCTTTGCCAGAATATACTACAAATGGCCCTCACATAAGTTTCCCATCTGAAATCTCATAACCAATCTTTGAAGTCCACATTTCTATTGGCAGTCTGGACCTCTGAGCTCCCATCCGAATTACCCATTATGCTGAGACTGCAGCATCCTAAGGCTTCCTAGCTCAAATATCCAAACTGCAAAATTTCTCCTGCAAACCAACTCCAGGCTTAAGAGCCATACTGAAATGTTGAGTCTCAGCAACCACTTGACTCCTGGTACCAATTTTCTATGTTAGATTTTTTTTCATCACTCTGACAGAATACCCAAAGAAACAACTCAAGGGAGGAAGGATTTATTTTGTTTAAAATGTCAGAGATTTTAGTCCATCATGGGAGAGTAGTTTATATTACGGTGGTCAGGAGGAGGGGAGGAAGAGAGGGAACAATGGAGCCAGCTTATGGAATGGTGCCACCTACATTCAAAGTAGGTCTTCCTCCTTAGTTAATCTCTGAAAATGGTGTGTTTTGCTAATTTCATAGGCACTTCTCCATCCAATCAAAGCTGACAATAAGGATTATCTACTGAAGAGAGTGCAATATTTGACATTATGGTTCACAGTGTTTTTTTTTTTTGGGTGTTTTTTTTTTTGTTTTTTTTTTTTTGCCTTTTTTGAGACAGGGTCTCCCTGTAGTCCCAGCTGTCCTGGAACTCACTATGTAGACCAGGCCGGCTTTGAACTCACAGAGGTCCCGAGTGCTAGGATTAAAGGCATGCGCCACCATGCCCGGCCCAACTCTTCTTTTTATAAGTTCCCTTGGTCACGTTGGTTTTTTTGGGGGGGGGCTTTTTGAGACAGGGTCTCCCTGTAGTCACAGCTGGCCTGGATTCTGGATTCGCTATGAAGGCCCAGCTGGCCTGGAACTCACAGAGCTCCACCTGCTTCTGCCTCACCCAGCTGGTCATGGTGTTTTATCATAGCAACAGAAAAGTAACTAATACATCTACTGACATCAGAAGATAGTGAATATAAAAGTTGTTAAAAAACAACCTTTTTGTAAAAGTAGGAATTTATTACATATATACATATATGATATGAGTAAACATAGACTAAAGGGATTTCCATAATTGTGGTCATGTAAATTTCCTTTTTATCCTTATCTATCTATCTATCTATCTATCTATCTATCTATCTATCTATTTATTTATGTTTGTTTGTTTATTTGTTTTTGGTCTTTTTGAGACAGGGTCTCCCTGTAGCCCCAGCTGACCTGGAACTTGCTATGTAGACCAGGCTGGCCTTGAACTCACAGAGATCTACCTGCCTCTGCCTCCCAAGTGCTGGGATTAAAGGCATGCACCACCACCCCTGGCTTATGAATGTAGTTCTACAATGAACTTGCATTAATTGTACAGTTATTTCAATAAAAAGAACATGCTTTTCACTATAAAACTGGAAATTATTCTTCTACAAATTGAGACTGGTCATTAAAATTTACTTACCAAGAGATTCTCCCCTGCCACACCTCTGTTGTTAAAAACCACACACCTAAAACGAGAAAAGCACTTTTGTTATTGCCATACACAATTCTTCCTAATGACAGTATTAAAGTTCGAAAAAAAAAGTTGAACTGAGGATGTAACTCGGTTGGTAGAGTTCTTGCCTAGCATTCATGAAGCCTGGGTTCAAATACCAGGACTGCATAAACTGGTTATGGTGATGCATGCCTGTAGTGCTGACACGGGGAAGTGGAGACATGAGGATCAGAAGTTCAATGTCATCCTCATCTATACAGCAAGTTTGAGATCAGCTTGGAATAGATGAGATCCTATCTCAAACAAACATCAAACAAACAGGGTTAAAAATTCTGTTCCAGGACTGGTAAGCTGGCTTAGCGGGTTAAGGCACTTGCCATCAAGCCTGACCTGAGTTTGATCCTGGGACTCACATGGTGGAAGAAGAGAACCAACTCCTGCAAGTTATTCGCTGACCTCTGCATGAGTGCTGTGGCAGGCATACACATACACACAATAAATACAATAAGTGCAATTTTTTAAAATGCTTCTTCTGCTGGGCATGGTAGCACATGCGTTTAATTCCATTAGTCAGGAGGCAGAGGCCAGCAGATCTCTATGACAATAAGTGCAATTTTTTAAAATGCTTCTTCTGCTGGGCATGGTAGCACATGCGTTTAATTCCATTAGTCAGGAGGCAGAGGCCAGCAGATCTCTATGAGTTCAAGGCCAGCCTGGTCTACACAGTGAGCTCAGGGAGACCCTATCTCAAAGACCTCCCCCCCCCAGAAAGCTTGTTCTGCTGAGCATGTTGGGACACTCTTTTAATCCTCAGTCAGGAAGCAGAGGCAGGCAGATCTCTGTGAGATTGAGGCCAGCCTGGTGTACATAGTGAGTTCTAGGCCAGCTGGGGCTATAGAGAAACCCTGTCTTAAAAAGACTCAAAAAAAAAAAATCCTTGTTCTGTGGACATAATAAAGTTCAATAATTTTCCCTACAAGCACTAAAAATCCCTTTTCTTTTCAGTACTGGGGACTGAACACAGGGTTTCATGCATGCTAAGCAAACACTTTTACCACTGAACTAAATTCACAGCTCTAAAGATTGAAAAATTCTAAACGTGGGTTCAAATTAGAAATTTACATATTGGTGTTCTGTTAGTTTTTCTTACCAAAAAGTAAATAATTTACAACTTTTTTCTATGCTTATATATGCTTCTGATAAACATTATTAAAACAATTATAAGTCAAATTAATTTTTTTTGGCTTCAAATGACTCCTCTACCCACTGTACTTGTAGAACTAATAAGAATCTACTTATATGCTAGGGAACAGCTCTTATTCCTCAAGGCTCAGCAAACATGGAGACCATAATTAAAACATTTTTAAAAGATTTATTTTATTTTTAATTATGTGTCTGTGGTGGTGGTGGGGTATGTGCCTGAATGTGGGTGTCTGTGGAGGCCAGAAGAGGGAATCCGACACCCTGGAGATGGAGTTACAGGCAGTTGGGAGCTGCTTGATGTGGGTACTGGGAACTAGTTCTGGTTCTCTGAAGAGCAGTAAGTGCTCTTAACTGTTGAGCCATCTCTCTAGGTCCTAAATTAAATTTTATGTATTTTTATTTTTTATTTTATGTGTATGAGTGCTTTGCCTGCATGTATGTAAGTGCACCCATGTTGTGCAACACCTGCAGAGGGTGCTGGACCCCCTAGAACTGGATTTAGGGATGGCTGTTAATCATCATATGAGTGCGGGGAACTGAACCCGGGTCCTCTCCAAGAGCAGCCAGTGCTCTTAACCACTGAGTCATCTCTCCAGCCTCATCTAGTCCTTAAATTAAAAAAAATAATAAATTTTTATTTATATATGAGTGTATGTGTGCGAGTGCACAAATGCCACAGTGAAAGTATGAAGAACAACTTGTAGGAGTCTGTGCTCTCTCCTTCTACCATGTGGGTCCCAGGACTGAACTTAGATAAGGCTTGGTGGCAAGTGCTTTTACCTGCTAAGCCATCTCACCAGTCCTAGAACAGAATTCTGTAAGTGGTAAAAATATTACCCCAGGTAGTGCTACAAAGTGCCTGATCTGGTAGGATGGACCAACAATATACTACTGCTTAGTGTCCAAATATTTAACTCTCATTAGTTATCTATTAACCACTACGTGTGTGTGTGTGTGTGTGTGTGTGTGTGTGTGTGTGTGTATGTGTGCCATTATGGACAAAATCCTGGACTTGTACCTATATAGGTTCTCATGGATTTTGCAAGTATATTTCATGCCAATTAAAAAATTCATTTTGGGATGGGGATGAAGAGATGGCTCAGTGGTTGAGAGCACTGACTGCTCTTGCAGAGGACCCAGGTTCAATTCCCAGCACCCACATGGTGGCTACGAGCCATCCTTAACTCCAGTTCCAGGGGAACCTGAAGCCCTCTTCTGACCTCCGAGGCATTGCATGACATGGGTGTACTCACATACATGCAGGCAATACACTCATACGCATAAAATAAAAAAAATAAAAAAATTTCATTTTGGGGACTGGAGAGGTGGCTCAGTGGTTAAGAGCACTAACTGCTCTTGCAGAAGACCCAGGTTCGAGACCTAGCACCCACATGGCAGCTACGAACCATCCTTAACCCCAGTTCCAGGGGAATCTGAAGCCCTCTTCTGACCTCCGCAACATAGGTGTACTCACATACATGCAGACAATACACTCATGCACATAAAAAATTTTTAAAATAAATAAATAAAATATTTTTTAAAAATTCATGTTGTTTTTGTCTCTTTACCTATGCAATCAAGGCCATACAAAATTCAAGCTCTCTTCATTCACAGTGCTGATCGGGCAGGTTCAGAGCAGGGATGAACTGCTGGTTCTATAGAACATGCTCAACTCTGACTCCTCTCAGGGTGCTAGAGTTCAAGGCACACCAGCTCCACTGAAGGTGATGTTCTAGATCTATTTTGCAAAGCAATTCCTTTTTGCATCTGAAATGCCGTCTATGGAATTTTTAGGTCTCACTAAGAGGAAATCAATAAACGGTTAAAAATGTTAGAAATCAGGTTGGAACTAAGATGGCTTAGTTCAGTAAAACCTACACAAAAATAAAACAAAGTAAAACAAGCTGCGTGAAGTGGAGCAATCGCAGTGCTGGGCAGCTAGCCTAACTGAATCCTTGAGTCTCAGGCAAGTGGGGGATTGCCCTAAAGAACAAGATGACTATTGACTGAGGAAAAATGTCCTCAGGCCTCCACCTCTCCCACATGTACACATGTATGCACACACTTGACTCTGTACACACACACACACAGACACACACACACACACACACACACACACACACACACACACACAGAATCTCAGAAACCAATTTTAGCGAATATATAGAAATATTAAGTTTTATCGATTCACCTAAGATATCTTTTTGGGGGGGGGATCTTTTTCAGACAGGGTCTCCCAGTAGCCCCAGCTGACCTGGAACTCCCTATGTAGACCAGGCTGGCTTTGAACTCACAGAGATCCACCTGCCTCTGCCTCCTGAGTGCTGGGACTAAAGGTGTTTGCCACCATGCCCGGCGACCTATCTTAAATATGCTACAAATACATGTTAGAAAATGTAAGGTATGCTCTGTCATCTTTTGTTCTTTCATTTTAAGAGACAAGGTCTTACTATGTTGCCCAGGCTGGTCCCAAATTCGGACTCAAGTCAGCCCTGCCTCAGCCTCCCAATTGGCGGGGACTATAGACACATTTCACCATACCTGACTCTCTTTTATCTTTTTTTTTTCTTAAAGAATAGCAAGAGAGTTGAGATATAAATAAAATGTAAGTTGGCCACTTATATTCACTTACATAAGCACCTAAGTCACTGGGGAATGGTGACCTTGGTGCAGAAGATCCTAGTCAGATAAGAACCACTTTGGAGAGCAGGATGTCTGGAGCAAGCTGTCACAAGACAGCTAGTGTGAGAAGGCCACACAGCTAGAGGGGAAAGAAGAGGATTTGTAAACCCCTGCAAAAACAGCCTATCCATCTGGGGACTGTCTTCCAAACTGCAGAGGGGGGGCCTGTGAACCTTCTCTCAGGCAACTTTGGAAAGTGGATCAGAGCTCTGGTCTCTTGTTAGAGGAGAAACTGAACTCTTTTCCCATCCATCTTAATCACCACTGTCTCCTTCTAGCTTTGGGGCAGAAGGATGAGGAAGAGTGAGGAAGCCCAATAGCCAGGCTGTCCCTCTCTCCCACCAGCTGACAAAAGGTAATGACAAGCCTCTGTGAACAGCTCTTTCCAAACAAGTTTTACAGTTTATTCCATACGCCTTTAAATGGTGCACACACAAAGAAAGCTGGATGGTTAACATTTTTCCTGTACATTTTAGCCACTTAATTTTTCTTCTCTAAATGAAGACAACAAAGAGAAGGCATACCAAATTAAGAATGAATATACTATAAAGACCTTTCTGCCACTAGAGAACACATAAACCATGTACTATGGTTTGGTCCCCCAAGGATTTGTGTGTGGAAATTTAATTTAATTGTGAGGTATTAATTTGACTATAATGTTTACAGGTGGGGCCTTTGGGAGGTGACTGGGGTTAGATCAGGTCACCAGCAAGGTATTCCTGTTACTGAAGAGGAGAAAGACCAGGGGCACATATGTGAGCACTCTGCATCTCTCACCATGTGATACCCGAGGCACCTTGGGGCTCAGCCAGCAGAAAGGTCATTACCAGATGTAGTCTCTTGACCTTGGACCTCTGTGAGTCAAATCTCTTTTTTCTATAAATACCCAGCCTCAGGTATTTCATTATAGTAATGGAAAATAGACTAATACACCAGGGAAGGAAGTGAGTTTTCTCTAATGAAGGTTAAATCAAAGGCAGACAGCTAAGTACAAAACAAGGTTTCTCAATCTTCAGTACTCTAGGTGTTTCAGATCAAATAATTCTTTGTAATCAGGCTGCCATTTATAGATTCAATGCCATACCAATCAAAATCACCATGACATTTTTCACAGAATTGGAAAAAAAC